GCATCAGGGAAATACAAATCAAAGCCTCAATGAGATACCACCTCACACCAGTCAGAATGGCTAACATTAGCAAGTCAGGAAATGACAGATTTGGCGGGGATGCGGAAAAGGGGGAACACTCCTACACTATTGGTGGGAATGCAAGCTGGTGCAGCCACTGTGGAGAACAGTATGGAGGTTCCTCAAAAAGTTGAAAAATAGAGATACCGTACGACCCAGCAATTGCACTACTGGGTATTTACCCCAAAGATACAAATGTAGTGATCCGAAGGGGCACATGAACCCCAATGTTTATAGCAGCAATGTCCACAGTAGCCAAACTATGGAAAGAGCCTAGATGTCCATCAACAAATGAATGGATAAATATGTGACGTATGTATATATACAATGGAATATTATGCAGCCATCAAAAAAATGAATCTTGCCATTTGCAATGACGTGGATGGAATTAGAGGGTATTATGCTAAGCGAATTAAGTCAATCAGAGAGTAGAATGTTGATTACCAGGGCTGTTGGGTAGGGGGAATCAGGAGATGTTTGTCAAAGCAATCAAACTTTAAGTTATAAAATGAATAAGTTTTGGGGATTTAACGTACAGCATGGTGATTATAGGTAATACTAATATATACTCGAATGTTGCTAAGACAGTTCACCTTAAATGTCATCACCAAAAACAAAACAAAAAAAGGTAATTAGGTGAGATGATGGAGTATCAGCTAATGCTACAGTGGTAATCAGTTCGTAAAATATAAGTGTATTAAATCAACATGTTATATACAGCCTACAACTTACCATGTTTTATGTCAGTTACATCTCAATTAAGCTGGAAAAAAATTTAACTATATATTTGAAAAAAATGCAAACATACCTCATGAATATTTTTAATATTTATAGCAACATCATTGTGACAGCGAACAAAAAATACACATAATCCTTTTAGTTTCTCCGGGGCTGCGTTGTCTATATATAATCTCATCATTTTCCCCCCTTTGGTTGCTCCAGCAATAGTTCGACCACACTCTGAAAACAAAAGTCAAGAATGTAGTGTGTGATCACATAACGGATCGACTGTGATAAATGACTATGGATCTCACAGCATTGCTTCTTGCTTCACCTTACTGTAAGGAATTTTTGATGATTGTAATAAATTCTTTGTCTACAAAAAGACATCGCTAATTGGAATACTTGAAGTGCAGCCTCCCCTGCTACCTTTCCCTGAGTTCTTCACTTTTCTCCTTTTGGCCTCGCTTCAGGCAGGGTCTTCACACAGACTGTTCTACCCCATCTCTGACCCTTTGCCTCCCCAATTCCTACTTATCTTTCAGGTCTCAGCTGAAGCCCAAGTCTCTTAGAAGCCTTCACTGACTCCCCAGAGAGGATTTAGTCCCCTAGTGAAAACACTTATAGCCCCCAAGTTATACTAAATTATTCCTCAACTTGATTTCAGTGAAAATTAATCATTTAATTTTAAAAACTATTAAAAATATAATTTTGTTAGATGGTTGGTTGTACTATTAATAAGCAAAATTTAGCAGTCTTCCTATTCACAACAATTTAAAATATGATAAAAGAAATTTTAAAATCCCCATCCCCAAAACCATGAAAATATTTTGTCTTCCCAGCCTTCCCTCCTTTGGGTGTGGGGGATTCCTCCTGTCCCGTGACTCTGGAGGACACCAGTCTCAGGGCTCTGATGTGGTGGGCATGTGCAAATGAGACTGATCAGACTCTCTGCAAGAATGTCAATCCTGCCTGGAGGCACACAAAGGTAAAAGGGGACTGGAGGGATGTCAATCTAGTGATGAATCCTAAAGAAACTGCCCTGAAATCTGTGGAAATGCTCTATTCCTGTCCTTCCCAAGGCCAAGTGGTTTAGCTAGTTCAATTTTGTGAACAGCCCAGGCTTTTTTTTTTTTTTTTTTTTTGCTTATGTAAGCCAGAGTCTATTGCTGTTGCCTACAACCAAAGAACCGTGATACACAGTATGTAAGTGCTCAAATGCTCATTCATGGAGGTTGGCACAGAGAGGTACCTCTACCCTTAATAACCTCCCTCCCCTTTTTCCTTGATAAGAAAACCCATTGTCTCATCCAGCAATGTGTACATCCCCAAGGAGACTACTGCTTTCTCAGCCCCCTAACCCCTATGGTAGCCACATGACACAGTTCTGGCTGATAAGACATAAGATAAGCTTATGATTTCCTGATAACGGGGAGAGGCAAGGCCCTTTCCCCATAGGTGAAATCCTATGGTATTTGTCTTTTTCTGACTGACTTATTTCACTTAGCATTATACCCAAGCACCTTGAACTTGGATGTGATGTCTAGAGCTTCATCTTATAACCATATGGGGCAAACATGAACACAAAAGCCAACATTTAAAAATGACAGAATAGGAAGAAAAAAAGTATCTAGGTTTCTGATGACAATACTGAGCATTTGAACCATTGACAGCCACTGCCCACCTTGTTATGAAAGAAAAATAGATCCCCTCTTTGTTTAAGACACTATTAGGACTTCCATTACCTACAGCTAAACATATTCTGTATACATCTACATATTCGGTACACCCATCAACAGGGGAATGGTTTCTAAAAATCACAATGCAGCTATACTATGGAATACTGACAGCATTTTTAAAACTTTTTCAAAAAAATATTTATTTGAGAGAGAGAGAGAGTACACAAGTGGAGGCAGAGGTAGAGGGAAAGGGTCAAGCAGACTCCCCAATGAGAAGGGAGCCCCATGCAGGGCTCGATCCCAGGACCCCAAGATCATGACCTGAGCCAAAATCAAGAGTCACATGCTCAACCAACTGAACCACCCAGGCACCCCTGTACAGCATTTTTAAAATGAGGTAAATTTATATATAATGACATAGAAAATGTCTGGGCTATACTGTCAAATGCAAAACTCAAATCAAGAATAAAATGTATTATATGATCACATTTTTAAATGATAATAAGCATTTATATATTAACAGATGCATATGAGAAAGACAGGTAGTGGAATATTTACCAAACTAATAAATGTATAACTTTGCTAGGGGGCAAAATAATAATTAAAAATATACCTATCTTGGGGCACCTGAGTGGCTCAGTCGGTTAAGCCTCCAACTCTTGATTTCAGCTCAGGTCATGATCTCGGGATTGTGAGATTAAGCCCAGTCTTGGGTTCTGTGCTGAGTGCGGAGCCTGCTTGAGATTCTCTCTCTCCCTCTCCCTCTCTCTCTCCCTCCCTCCCCTCATGCACACAGGCTCTTTCTTTCTCTCTAAAAAAACAAAACAAAACAAAAC